CCGACAAAGAACAACTCCCTTGGTCGATGCCGATGTCCTGACACCATTTTGAAAAAACTCCCCACTTCAAAGCATACAGACGCCTGGTGGACAGGGCTCGCGCTTTTGCGATGGTGCTCAAGGCTTGCGAGTGCAGCGCATCCAGCCCGCTCAGCGACCCAGCAACGGCCACACATGGAGGCTCCACAGCCCGGGGCTGGGATGCCAGATTGATCTGCTCGCCCGAGACAGCAGGTCCTTCCTGAGTGGGATCTCCCATGGCCGCCCTGACAGTAACTCCACCAAGTCCGCAAACCATGGTTGGTTCGGCCAGTTTGGGGCTACCAGCGTCACCGCCGCCCTCTCCTCCCTGATTTTGCACAACACCATGGGCAGAATTTTCACCGGAGGAAAAGCATAGAGGCGAACTTTCGGCCTTCGCGCGTTCAACGCGTCCTCCTCCCGGGAGGAACGAGACAGCGAGAAGAACGTTTGACAATGCGTGTTCTCGCTCGTTGCGAAGAGGTCGACCTCCGTTCTGCCGAAACGCTTCCATATCAGCTGAACCGTTCCTGGGTGAAGCCTCCATTCCCCTTGAAGGATCCCGTTCCTCGAGAGCATGTCCGCCTCGCGATTCAGAAGGCCGGGGATGTGAGCCGCTCTCACCAAGTGGAAAAACCGGTCCGCCCACAGCAGAAGAGATTCTGCCTGCTTGAATAGGGCTCTGGAATGTACGCCGCCCTGGCGATTTATATACGAGACCACGGATGTGTTGTCGGTCCGAATCAACACATGCCGCTGCTCCAGCTGAGACCGGAAGGCTTCGAGAGCTAGAGAGACCGCCTTTAGTTCCAAACGATTTATGTGCCACTCTGCCTGCTTCTCTGACCACCGACCCGAAGCGGGCTTGCCCAAGCAGACCGCTCCCCATCCGGTGGTCGATGTGTCCGTCAGGACCTCCACACGTCGTGTCACGATGCCCAGAGGGACACTCGATCTGAAAAGCTCCGGGTTCTTCCACGGAGCCAGAGCGCGCACGCAGCCGCTAGTGACCATAATGCGCTTGTGGCCGGAATACCACGCACTTGAAGGGACGCGCGCTTTCAGCCAGTGTTGAAGCGGTCTCATATGCAGCAGCCCTAGGTGACACATCGACGAAGCCGCTGCCATCCGTCCCAATAACCTCTGAAATTCCTTCAGTGGGACGAGCTTGCCCGGTCTGAAGAGACCGAGAGAAGAGCTCAGAGCCTCCGCTCGCTCGGGCGAGAGGTGCGCTCTCATTCTCACCGAATCCAAGTGCACTCCCAAGAATGTGGTGGTCTGGCTCGGCGAGAGCACACTTTTCTGAACGTTCACCCTCAAACCAAGCATCTCCAAGTGACGAAGGAGGGCTTCCACATGGCCGATCAGCGTCTCTTTCGATTGGGCGAGAACCAGCCAGTCGTCCAAATAGTTCAAGACGCGCCGCGTCCACACATTTCGAAAAAGTTCGGGGCGCGAGGGCTAGTCTGAACGGAAGCACTGTGTATTGGTACACCGAATTCTCGAACGCGAACCTCAGGAAACGCCTGTGACGCTTTACTATCTGGATATGAAAGTACGCGTCCTTTAAATCCACTGAAGCGAACCAATCCCCGGGGCGAATTTGCTCCAGGATTTGCTTTAGAGTAGTCATCCTGAAGGCACGCTTGTGGAGCACTCTGTTGACAGGTCTCAGATCCAGTATGGGGCGGAGACCTCCTCCTTTTTTCGGCACTACAAAGTACCGGCTGTAGAACCCGTTCTCGCGTTCACTCGGGGGAACCGATTCTATCGCTTTCTTCTCGAGCAAGTTGCACACTTCTTGCCTCAGCACATGAGCGTTTAGGGGCAAAGTTAATGACTGAATTACACCACAGAAGCAGGGTGGTCTGCGTTTGAACTGAAGTGTGTACCCGTGCCGAATTACATTTAACACCCACGGCGAAATGCCCGGAATAGCTTCCCACGCTGCCTGAAAGTGACTCATTGTGGGCTGATCTAAACCTGCGGTCATCACCGCTGTTTGTGGGCTGTGAATGAACACCTGCCCTTATAGTTATTAACCGTAACTCTGCACTGCTCGAGGGCAGGGCGGGTAACACAGTGTGTGGTGCGAGAGGGGAAAAAAGCTCTTGAACATAAACACGAAACAACATTCACAACACAATCGCACATGTCGCTCATGGAACGCAGAGGGACTAAGTGCTGTAGAGCGCGGCACTTGGGAACGGGACCCGCCTGGCGCTCTCTTCCCCTCTTGCCCGGTCGGTCAGGACGACTGTTTTGGCCTCGCTGGGAACCCGGCGACTTTTCTCCGAGGGCTCCTCTGGGCCGTCCTCTTCTTACCTGCACCCTGCCATTGGCCGCTACGTCCACTTTTTCGAGCATCCAGCTCCGGGCGAGGTACTGACTGCCGTCTGGTCACAGCTTGAGGTTGGCGGCCCAAGGCAGAAGACGAGCGAGAGCGAGGCTGCGGTGGAGGCGGCGGCGCCCTGCGAGGAATGACGTGGCTCATCGCCTTCGCCTTTTTCTGGGTCTCAGAGTAGCGCTCGGTGACCTTCTCGACGGCATCCCCGAACAGGCCTGCTGGGGAGATCGGTGCGTTCAGCAGCGTCTTCCTGTCCGCCTCCTGCACGTCCGAAAGGGTGAGCCACAGATGTCTGTGGAGGACCACCATAAAACCCATCGAACGGCCTATCGCCTGGGCCGAGCGCTTCGTGGCTAAGAGCGCGAGGTCCGTGGCCGAACGAAGATCCCGGAGCAGCTTCAGCAGCTTCGCCTGCATGACCTGAAGAATGGCCATGGCGTGCAACGCAGACACCGCCTCCCCCGGCGCTCCGTAGGCCTTGTTCGCCTGGTGGGCCGTGAATCTGCAGGCTCTGGACGGCAGGCTGCGGTCCGAGCCTAGGGCAAGAGCCGATGGGCAGAGGTGCGCGGCTACAGTCTCCTCGACGGGGGGGATTCGGAGGTAGCCGTGGTCCCCCGCCTCGTCCACGGGGGCAAACATGGCCTGGGTGGAAGTGAGGGTGCGCGCCGATTGCGGGGCCACCTACGACTTCACGACGTGTTCGTGCACGTCAGGAAAGAACGGGGTTCCTCTTTTCGAAGCGACCTGCCGGCGGCTCGATTGGAGGAGCCACGTGTCGAGCTTGCTCTTGGACGCTTCATCCGGGGCCTTCCAAGAGAGGTCCAGTTCCTCGACGGCCTTAGAGAGGATTCGAAAAAGCTCGTCCTGCAGGTCCGCCGGGGTGTCTTGCTCCGAAGCCGCCTGCTCTGCGCCCCAGTCATTCTCGGAGGCAGACAGAGACATGGAGTCCTCTTCCTCACTCGCCCCGAAAGACATGAAGTCCGCGATCTCGCAAGGGGGGTGAAAAGTGGCGTCGGGGAAACTCACCGGGGGTCGCACCTCGACTCTTTCGGGCCCGATCCCCGCTGCTGCACAAGCTTCATCCTGCCTGGCCTTAAGAGCTCGTAGGGACATATCCGCACATTGCTCGCAAGACCCGCCATCCTAGAGGGCCGACTCGGCATGGGCCAGCCCCATGCACGCGATGCAGAACAGGTGCGTGTCCGGAGGCACGATGGGGCCCGAGCACAAGTTGCAAATAGTTGCCATCGGATGCAGAAGACAGTAAAGTATCTTCGGCGCACCTTCGACGATGGCGAAAAATCCTAGTCACAGTAGTTGGAGTATCAGCTTTCTAGCACACGATTTGGGCGTGAGAGAGATTCTGAGGAAATTGACGCTGCATCTGCATTATTACTGCAACGGTGTTTCAGTATTTGCTTATTTTGCGTCAATTGGCCAGCCCGGCTGGCGTTAGCCTATAAGATTTCAGCAGAAGTGAAGAAGGGGAGGAGTTCCCATATACGACATCCGTAATGTCGAAGTTCCGTAGCCTTGATAGGGAACAGAAGTTTAACCATTTCATCTGCAGCAAAACAATAAATAAAAATACAAACCAAAAGTGGGAGATCTTTAAGTTCTGTTGTTCAAACTATAGCTACAAATTACTGTTGCTTACCTCCAGTTCGTGTTGCAAAATGGATTAACCATTTATTACCATTTATTAACTATTAAAGCTTTTTTGCATAGTTGTACTTGACACATGAAAACTGTAACGATGTATCTTACGAGGTAACACGATGTGACCTTGCTCTCACTCGAAATGTGTCCCACATTAAGTCCTTGACTTTGAGGGTATTGGACATGGAAAGTCTTGAATTTGAAGTTAACCGAGGTGTGAGATTTTGCAAGAGAGACTTGTGCTGCTTAATGACAATGTTTTCGTTAATTTAGTTAAATTGTCTGATATTGTTGATGCAGTGATTTAGATTGTTATAAATGTAATCTTTGGTTTTGTTAGTTGTAGTGCATAAATGAGCTGGGTCAGATAACATTCACTGCTTGAGATGATGTTCTCTGATTTACAATCTGTTGAGCTTTCATCGGTGAGATTAAATTATTTGATGTTTGTCTGTGACCTCATGTTGGGCAGGAGATCCAGCCGAAATAAAGAGCCAGAGAGATCACGTTCTATTTTTTGAGACATTTTTGTTTTCCAACAACAAACATAGACAAGAACAGAGTTTAAAGCGCTCTCTAATGACTCCACTCCAGGCTTTACATTTCCAGCTTCTCGCTCTCCACTGAGACAAACCTTCCATGAACGATCACGGAGAGAGGAAAGTTACAGGATTATCTGACTTTCAAAACACCTGCTCCTCGCTCCAGACGCAGAAGTGAAACAACATTAGAAAACTGAAGTGGAAATCGCAAGCACTGCATTTCTATTACTGAGCAGCATTTGGACGTTCTCTGTTTGCTTTTCAGTAAATCAGTGTTTCTGTTCATGCTCTAAAATTAGTCCCATAAGCATGATGAAGCGAAGGTCGCGTCATATTCCTCATTTCTTCTCATGTGTTAATTTCAGTCACTCCCACAAACACATCTGTGACTCTGAGTGTGAGTGTGTACTTAAGCAGCTTCTCTTCACGAGACCAGCGCCACACCATGTTTGCTCTGGGTCTGCTCACCTGTGTTGTGCTGAGAGCATTCAGTGCTCAGGCAGAAGTCGTCGATGACTTTAATCAGTGTATAGAGTTTTTCTACGAAAACACAGAACCAGAAGGAATGGATCAGAATGCCAGGAAAATCTGTCAGATGTATGGTCAACAACGACCCATGCAGTTTGGTCAAGAAGAACATGTCCTGGTATCTCCCATGCACTCTTATTACGCTACGCTGTACTCAACACAACACAGGATTCCTCTCTACAGTGCCTACGTATTTGATCGTACATGCAAGAGCGGCAGGGGAAGGACAAACATCTGGCACGTCGAGCCACAGGTGACTATGTGCTTCTGTTCTCTAACTAAATACTTTTATTAGCAGTTTAAACTCTGCAATCCATAAGAAGCAGTTCTGTTCATTTAATTATTGGTCTTCATTCTGTTTTGCCATTGCAAATAGAGTAATTGTACTGTAAACATTATAAATGTCCAATAAAAGAGACAAAGTAGGCAGAAAGAAAATAACTTTTTTCTACTATTGAAGTTTGAAAACAAAATAAAGTATTTTCTCAAAAGTGGTCAAGATCAAACTAACCATCTAACATATTATTTATTCTGTAGATTTCAGGTTACCCAATTAGAAATATGGTCCGTGAGGGAGACTTGGGAAAACTTGGACTAGATAAAGACGTTATTAAAATAAGTCAATCCGTGAGCAGTGACTACAGTTTCTCCGGATATGATCGTGGACACCTGAACCCCAGCAGCTTCAACTGCGGTGCTGGCCGTAACGCAACATTCACTCTGACCAATGCCGCACCGATGGGCCCGCGTTTCAACCGTGTCCACTGGAGGAAGTGGGAGATGACTTTGAGGAGTTTTTTACTAAACCAACATGAGAGAGATAATGGTTTAGCAACAGCCTACATTGTCACAGGTACGGTACCTGATGCAGAAGAACGGATACCACAAAGGGAAAACTCTGAAGGCTATGAAGAAAACTGTGAAGGCTATGAAGAAAACTGTGAAGGCTATGAAGAATTCTCTGAAGAAGACTATGAAGAAATCTATGAAAGGGTGACGGTGCCCTCTCACATCTGGACGGCTGTCTGTTATAAACACCACTTTGATGACAGTGAGTCTTTCTCCTTCAGCTATATGGCAGAGAACCAGTCAGAAGAGCCAGGCATAAACATGATGAGTGTCTCAGACCTAGGTAATCAGCTCAGCAGACTCTACAGTGAGCTCTCAGGAACTCAACAGACAGTTAACATTTTTGTGGATGGTTGTTTTGGTGACAATAATAAATTAAACATGGTCAAGGAGAAGTTTAAAAAGTTAATAAATCTTCCAGGGAGACAGGGACTCCACATGAGCACAGCTGTGCAGAACATATATAGTGCCGTGAAAAGGGCCATCGGCAGTGACAGCCAATCATCTGAAAAGAAAGTCAAGGTGAAAGAGATGACAGTAAAATTAGCCTTTGACAGCATGAACACTTACTATACTATGGCTGAGGATCTGAAGGCTTTTGCTGGAAGTGCTTGTCTTATAACTCATGTCAAATCACCAGTAGGGAAACTTGTGCTCAGGAAGAGGGAGGTATCCGAGTGGCCGGACGCTGTTGAATGCCTGCTGGTCCCAGAGAAGCAGAAGACTGCAGCTGATGGATCGCAGTGCTCGTACTTCGAGACTAGTGACTTCTGTTTGTGCTACTTAGGACGTTCAATCATGCGCTGCTGCTCCTCTCCCTGCCTGTACCAGCCCCATGTCAAGGGCTACAGGTGTAACTCAGGCCGGACGCAGATAGAGTGCCCACCGCAGTACTCGCTCATCACGGCTAAAGGAGAGAGGTGCAGGGATGATCACCCCTGCGCCACATACGGCAACGACTACTACTGGTGTAGCAAGGTCTCTGGCGGCTGGGATTACTGCAGTCCTCCGCTGTGGAGCAGTAAAGCTAAGAGCGGGAAGTTCTGCCGCAGAGACCATGCCTGTGCCAAATATGGTGAAGATCACATGTGGTGCTACACGGATGATGAAGGCAGTCATGACCAGTGCTGTACTTCTGATGACTGCTACTCATTTCGAAAAAGTTCGGGGCGCGAGGGCTAGTCTGAACGGAAGCACTGTGTATTGGTACACCGAATTCTCGAACGCGAACCTCAGGAAACGCCTGTGACGCTTTACTATCTGGATATGAAAGTACGCGTCCTTTAAATCCACTGAAGCGAACCAATCCCCGGGGCGAATTTGCTCCAGGATTTGCTTTAGAGTAGTCATCCTGAAGGCACGCTTGTGGAGCACTCTGTTGACAGGTCTCAGATCCAGTATGGGGCGGAGACCTCCTCCTTTTTTCGGCACTACAAAGTACCGGCTGTAGAACCCGTTCTCGCGTTCACTCGGGGGAACCGATTCTATCGCTTTCTTCTCGAGCAAGTTGCACACTTCTTGCCTCAGCACATGAGCGTTTAGGGGCAAAGTTAATGACTGAATTACACCACAGAAGCAGGGTGGTCTGCGTTTGAACTGAAGTGTGTACCCGTGCCGAATTACATTTAACACCCACGGCGAAATGCCCGGAATAGCTTCCCACGCTGCCTGAAAGTGACTCATTGTGGGCTGATCTAAACCTGCGGTCATCACCGCTGTTTGTGGGCTGTGAATGAACACCTGCCCTTATAGTTATTAACCGTAACTCTGCACTGCTCGAGGGCAGGGCGGGTAACACAGTGTGTGGTGCGAGAGGGGAAAAAAGCTCTTGAACATAAACACGAAACAACATTCACAACACAATCGCACATGTCGCTCATGGAACGCAGAGGGACTAAGTGCTGTAGAGCGCGGCACTTGGGAACGGGACCCGCCTGGCGCTCTCTTCCCCTCTTGCCCGGTCGGTCAGGACGACTGTTTTGGCCTCGCTGGGAACCCGGCGACTTTTCTCCGAGGGCTCCTCTGGGCCGTCCTCTTCTTACCTGCACCCTGCCATTGGCCGCTACGTCCACTTTTTCGAGCATCCAGCTCCGGGCGAGGTACTGACTGCCGTTCTGCTGTGAACGGCCAAACCTGCAGGTCTGATCACATGTGTGGGTACCATGGCGAAAGCTACCTGTGGTGCTACACAGATTATGAAGACCATCGGGATTACTGTTGCAAAAATTGTGCATAGATGGTTTACAATGTGTAGTATACTGTAAGAAATAAATCCGTAAAATAACAGAAAAATTACTGGCATATCATTACCGGGACATTATCCATTAATTTACGGACATTTCTGTTTGTCAAATTAATACAGTATATTGTGCCCTATGATTATGACTTAAGCAGGACTTTGCAAAGTTGATTGTGATTGTACTTTTACAAAGCTCTTACAAACCTACAAGCTTTCTAACATAAAAAATAAAGACTCTTATCTGTGCTTCTGAAATTAACAGCTGCTTAAAATTATTATTTTTTTCATTTGTAGGCAAAAACAAAAAGCTCAATAAAAATATGTATGAATCTATTATATATGTGCAAATTCTTACACACAGGAGTACACTGTTTTCAGTAAAAACTAATCTCTGACATTTGAGTGTATACTCTCTTAAACACACACTACAGAACAGTGATGTGATTTTCATGAAGAGTAAGTCAAACTGTGTCCATGCTCACAGATATAAACGCCCAGGTGTGTATGCTCACCACAGACATCTTCATCCCCTCACACTCCTCAGCTGATGCCGTAGCCAAGCTGTCTGCTGAACATCTCTTGCTATGAACTTTAAACATCTCCCTGTTTGCCAACGCAACAAGAGACGAACCCAAAATTGGAAAAACATCTTCCAAATTATATTCTGGTCAACAGAGAGTCGTAAACTAGAGCCTACATTTTTAAAAGCAGAAAACTGCCTTCTCCTTTGTTTTATTTGCTTTGTTGCAACAAAATAGCAACACTTTTATGAAAATGAGCAAACAACAGGATAATAATAATCATTCAAAATGTATAAACAATTGGAAAACGAAAAAGCGTTTCAAGTTGATGCATCTGTATTGTTACGGCCAGCTCGTTTCGGCCGTACATAAAGTAAACAAGTACACCAAAAATGACTTGCAAGATTTTATTCGTCCTCAAAAATCACAATAAACTGAATATAACGAAGTCTAGGGTTTCAAATCAAAAGGGTAAAAATCATAATCCGGTTGGGGAGTAAAAGAAGGTTGGTATGGGCTGTAAATCAAGGGTTCGAATGACTTCGCCAGAGGCTGTCAATCCCCTGGACGAAGTGAAGATGAGATGTTCAATCCAAGGTTTTATCCTCTTCATAATCAAAGATAATCAGGAAGCAGGTGAGTGCGATCTCCCACGCTCTCTCAGAGCAACACCGCCACCAGCAGGCGAGCAAGCAGAACACAGGGTCGTAACACCTCCCTCCAAAAGAAAAAGATTCGGCCACGAATCTAAAAATCAAAAACAAGAGAAAACAATTAGGCACAACCCAAAACAAGCGCAATGACATTCTGGACGTCGTCTTCTCTTCATTCTCCAGCACCTCTGTGCCCTAGAGATGCAAAGAAAAGAAAATGGACAACGCAGAGGTTAGGTTATGCTCTGGAAAGTGTGTCAGCTATGACATTATCTTTTCCTCGAATGTGTTGAATCTCAAGGTGGAAAGGTTGTAAAATGAGACTCCATCGCATAAGTCGCTGATTTCGATTTCTCATTCGATTCAAGAAAACCAACGGATTATGATCCGTATAGATGATAATCGGTGCAGCGATGGACCCTAGGTATACCTCAAAATGTTGCACGGCCAACACTAGGGCGAGAGCTTCCTTCTCAATGGTAGAGTATACCTGTTGATGTCGATTAAACTTTTTTGAAAAGTAACTTACAGGATGTAGAACCTTGTTCGAATCCTCCTGTAAGAGGACAGCACCCGCACCACAAGCACTTGCATCGATTGCAAGGCTAAAAGATTTCTCAAAATCCGGGGCTGTTAAAACAGGGGCACACGCCAACAACGCTTTACAATTACCAAAAGCTTGTTGACAGAGCTCAGACCACTGAAAAGTCAACTTTGGACTCAATAAATCGGTAAGAGGGGAGACCACACTGGCGAAATTTTCACAGAAGCCCCGGTAATATCCCACCATACCGAGAAACCGTCGCAATTCACGACGAGTGGTGGGTACGGGAAAGTCACAAATGGCTTCAACCTTGGTCTCAATAGGCTTTACACAACCGTTTCCCACGACTTTACCTAAATAGGTAACGGTTGCCTTCGCGAATTCCGATTTAGCGAGGTTTATGGTAAGATTAGCCTTTGCTAAACGAGAAAACAATTCCTTAATCTGGTTAAGATGTTCAGACCAGGAGGAATTATACAACACCACGTCGTCAAAATATGCCTCACATCCTGACATTCCATACAGTATACGATTTACGAGACGCTGGAACGTCGCGGGTGCATTTCGCACTCCGAAAGGCATAACCGTATACTGCAGGAAAGCATCAGGTGTGACGAAGGCGGATAATTCCTTCGCTCGACAAGTCAGCGGCACCTGCCAATATCCCTTTAGGAGATCGAACTTACTAACATATCGGGCAGAGCCAACATGATCGATGCAGTCATCAACTCGAGGCAAAGGGAAGCAATCCGGCTTAGTAACAGAATTAAGTTTTCGATAATCTGTGCAGAATCGATATGAGCCATCAGATTTATTTACCAGAACACAAGGGGAACTCCACGAACTGAAACTACATTCAGCCAGATCATGAGCAAGTACATAGTTCACCTCTTGTTTCAGCAAATCTCTTTTAAAAGGATTGACTCGATATGCGTTCTGTTTAACAGGACACGAGGCTCCTACGTCGATATCATGTTCTATGATAGAAGTACGACCAGGAACATCACGGAAAAGAGAGGGAAATGACATCACCAACTCAGTGACATCACTCCTCTCCTTCTCTGTCAGATAAGAAAGATGAGAGGACAGATTAAGAAGAATCTCAGAGTTCTTAAGTCGCCCGTCGACTTTTTCTCGAGAAAGAAAACTCTCATCCTCATCAGCATTCTCCAAAGAATCCTTACTCGGGCTACGAAAGGAAGATGACAATTCTGGAAAAGAATCACAAGAGTTTACCACATTAACAGTAACGGGACGAACAGGAGCTATGTACAATTTCAACAGATTACTGTGACATACTTGTACCTTCTTCCTCCGATCAGGAGTATTCAACAGATAGTTATTATCAGAAAGACGTTTAACTATCTTGTAAGGGCCTGTAAATTTAGCCTGAAATGGATTTGCAGGTAGAGACAATAAAGCCAATACTTGTTCACCCACCTGAAATTCTCTTAATTTAGCTTTCTTGTCAAAGCGTTTTTGCATTTTTATTTGAGACTTACTCAATTTCTTTTTAGCAAGAGCTCGTGCCTCATATAATCTACGCCGGAATCCACTCACATAATCTGAAATATTTCCAGAAGGTTTAGACATTCGCCACTCCTCAGCTAACACAGTTGTAGGTCCTCGCACTACATGTCCGAACACTAATTCATTTGGGCTAAACCCAAGACTTTCTTGGATTACCTCACGGATCGCTAACAACATCCATGGCAGACCTTCTTCCCAATCTACATCCAGTTCCACACAATATGACCTCAAAAGGGACTTCAGGGTTTGATGAAACCTTTCAAGAACTCCATGACTCTGTGGATGATAAGCACTAGAAATATTGTGTTTCACTCGAAGTTGACGCAGGGCTTTTGAGAACTGTTTTGACATAAAGTTCGAACCCTGATCAGATTGAATGACTTTAGGAATTCCAAAGGTCGACATGAAATTAGTGAGAGCCTTCAAGACAGATTTAGTAGTAATGGACCTTAACGGATAAGCAGCCGGATAACAAGTAGTCTGACACATAATGGTTAAAAGGTATTGGTGACCAGTCTTGGACCGAGGCAAAGGACCAACAAAGTCAACTATCAAATACTCAAAAGGAGTGGAACCGACGGAAATAGGTTGCAACGGAGCAACAGGTAACTTTTGATTTGGCTTACCGGTGATCTGGCATGTATGACAAGATCGAATATGTTTTGCCACATCTCGTTTCACCTTCGGCCAATAGAACTGTCGTAAGACTCGATCGTACGTTTTACGAACTCCGGTATGACCAGCAAGTCCTTGATGAGCTAAATGCAACACGGATTCCCTCATCATAAAAGGAACCACAATCTGAATTTTAGGTTCTAGAGAAACATCTTCATGCAACACCACTTTCCGACAAAGCAGACCATCATCAAGAAAGTACGAAGAAGACTGAGGATCAGAACATTTCTTAGACCCTACTTCAGAGAATAAGGTTTTAAGACTGTTGTCGCTCTGTTGAGCTCTAATCAAATCCTCTCGAGAAATCTGGAACAAAGAAGTCAGAAAACAATCATCAACATCAGAGAGATCAACATTGGTTTTCTCAAGAGTGGACAGAACCTCTAATGTATCGTTAGATTCATGTCGCAACACTGTCGATTCTTTCTGGTCAGAAGACAACGAAGAACAGGACTTCGGGTCTCTTTGCTCAGGACTCTTGGACACATCCGATCCTGAATCACCTGTATGAACAGTATAGAAGAAAGTGTCATGCAGTGGAACTTCAACTTGATTTTCAGATAATGGTTTAGCCATTGATCGAGTAACTGCACAAGCTGGAAATAAATCAGGAAATTCTCTACAATTTCCAACATCAGATTTCCTAGGTGTAGATGCTATTATGGGTGGAGCTGCCACTTCACTCCAACCCCAAACATTCCCACCAGCTAAATCATTTCCCAGAATAAATGTAATCCCGGGGACTGGAAGTGCAGAACGAACACCAACTACTACATCACCAGATACAATGGCAGAGGAAAGATGGATTCGATGCAAAGGCACTTCAACAAACCCCATCTCAAAACCTCGCACTAACACATGAGTTCCAGTAGCGGTTTCAGAAGTCAAGGGTAAAATTCCCTCTAACAGAAACGACTGTGCAGCCCCTGTATCTCGAAGAAGACGTATTGGCACCGTTTCATTTGAACCAGGCAATGACACATTTCCTTCTGTGATAAAGGGTGTATAATCAACAGAAGAAATTGTACACTGATCAACAGATTTATCACCAGAAATGGACAAATGACGATCTTTCTCATCACGTGTCAATAGTAAATGGTGAGGTAGAAACCAAAGCAACAGGTTTCGACAATCTCTCTTTCCTCTTGAGAGTATGACAGTCAGATACTTTATGACCAGGCTTTTTACAATAAAAGCAAACCATGTCTCGTGAGACTACAGGTTTACTAGAA